TATTAATAAAAAAATGTATATTAGGACTTGACACTCTGTATCTTTAAAATTATGCATTTCCGGACACATGTTTATATTAACTTTTTACCTTAAAAACACAAAGAATCACCTTCTGAAGTTGGCCAGATACTTAATTAACAGCCTGTATTTAAAAATGGCTAGCTAGCGATTTTGTAAGTAAAGCTATGTTTATTTTAATAGAAAAAAAAATACATTTCATAAAAAATAAACAAACCCATAATTAAATTACTATACACTACAAAATAAAACACTAAATCACCACAATACACCAAAACACTTTTACTTTTACACTGGACGCGCGTTTCGCTAACCATGAGTTTATAATCATCTGCTGATGATGCTAATATGGTTAGCGAAACGCGCGTCCAGTGTAAAAGTAAAAGTGTTTTGGTGTATTGTGGTGATTTAGTGTTTTATTTTGCTGTGTAACACCAAAGATTCCAACCCTCAACTGTAATACTATACACTAATTAATTAATTTTAAATGTATCTAAATAGGCACTTTAATAATTGAAAAATGGACATGAGCACTTCATAGAGTATACCAAATATGTAAAAAAAATCCAATAAAAAAACCACAAATGGCACATTAAAATCTGCATTATCTGAAATCAATCTATAGGTACCTAAACGGCCAATCAGCCAGACAACAGTCACAAGACGCCGACATCGATAACGCGATGAGCAGTTTTTAATAATTATTCCGAGTTAATACTTCAAGTAGCATTCCTTCAAATAAATTTTAATTTAAGTATTGTTAATACATATAGTCATATTAATGATTATAGCCTGTATGATTTCTAAAATAAAAATCCAGCGTGTTTTTATCAGAATAATTATTAAATGATTAACTAGAAATAGTTAATATTTATTAACTTCGTAAGTGTTATTTTTTAATATAATTATGGATTTAATAATTAAATAATTATCTTAAGTTTAAATTGTGGTAAACTTGTTATGAATTTCAATCATTTATATTTAAAATCTTAGGGAAGGCAATATAGATTTTAGGCAGAAGAACTCAAGAGAAGGACTGTGTAATTAGTAATTAAAATTTTACATTTTTTTTACTTGCCATTTTTCTTGTCTTTCACGTTGCACGTTCACTCTTCGTTGTGTCACACACAATCTGAATTTCGGATATGATGCAGAACTGATAAATTAGACCAAATATATTAATTGCAAGGTATGCAAAGAAATATTTTTGTTAACTTTGCAAATACTTAAGGCATGCAATAATTTAAAAAAAATTTGACGTAAGATTACTTCATAATTCTTGAAAGTCTTGGATGATAAAGATTTGAATTATTATGGGTCTGTTTTGTTTAAGAAGCTAACAAATAATTTCAAAAACTCAACTATCAAAATATAATGGTAGAAAATGTTTAAAAGCATGTATAGGTATAATATTCCATATTAATTGGACATACTGAATGTAAACTAGGAATACATAGTTGCTGCAGTCGATAATATATTTTGCTGTTTATTTTCCTCATAACAAAAAACCGCCAATACCGCTACTCACATTATGGGCACCTTTTTATACTTAAATCTCTTAATGATGTTTAAAAATACATATGTAGGTACATATGTACAAGTAGTGGTTGTCACGGTTTTTTTATTAGGTATGATGAAAAGAAGCTGCAAACTAAATTATCGTTGAAGCCAACTATGTTTTAATTTATTTTTATCTACAGTAACTATGCACGGTAAGGGTTCAAAAGATGCCTATACTGTGAGGCAAAAATAAATTTCCTCCATAAATTTACACAGTAAGTTCGAATATTAGTTAAACCTAGGAATACCCAGGTAATAGCCGGAAATATGCAAAAGAAGGGGCGAGCTTAGGTTAGATTAGAATTAGGTTTTAGTTGGTTTTGAATTAATAAAAATATAGACCTAATCTAAACTTAACCGAAACTGACCCACTTTTTGGTATATTTCGGGCTCCTACGTGGGCAACTCGACGTTTAACCAATATTCGGGCTTTTACGGTAACATAATACTCATTCTGATTGGTTTAATCTGGCTCCGTAACAGAACTGTGGGTTCGAAGTGCTATTGCAAATTAATGCAATTAATTCTATATATACACTCTCATAAAAAACCATCACGATAAATATTAAGTATCAAAATTATTTAACGTTGCGAACGGTTCACTTGTTCACTATACGTATCTGGAATATATTTGCGAATGGCGATCAGCGATACGATGGTGCGTCCAAACCTGGAGAGACGAGCGCGAGACATTCCAAATTCGCTGTGTGGACGAGTCTCGCGAGAGCGTCGCGAGTCAACCCACGGAGCCTCATTGCTATCCGTCCCATGTCGGTTTTCCAACGGCCGATCAAAGAAAGCTCGAAAGTCTTTACGTGTTTTTGGTAGACCCACCCGACTGCGAGATATTAGCTCCGATTTATAAATTTCGACCATTTAAAATTAAGTAATCTCAAATTTTTAAATCGTACACCGTTTGTATTATCATTTTTTCTGATAGAATTTACAAATGTCACTGATAATTTTTACCCTACCGAAATCCAACATTTCTTTAAAAAAGATCGAATTAATTCAAATTGAATTATTACAACATCTATTAATTTTAGAATACCATGTTAAAGACCGAATATCATATTAAAGATACAAAAATGTATTACTGTATGCGTTATTATTTGGAAATCGTTTGTTATATTCAATTGCGATTTAATATGTGGCTTGGCTTTCTTTCACTATGATCCCACTCGGCTTGTCTCGTGGCAGGTTGGCGTAAAAAATGGATAGAAAATGTCTCGCTCTCGTCTCGCTCTTGTCTCGCTCTTGTCTTGCTCTCGTCTCGCGCTCGTCTCGTCAGGTCTGGACGCACCATAGACTGCCGGAGTGGTGACGTCACGAGTGTCAAATTGCTTTCCAAACAAGGTTTAGTTCTTTATATTTCTATTGAGCTCTTCCAAATGACGTCACAAATTAATATAAAATGTAAAAAAACAAGTGATTGCCGACAACCGCCGACTTGTATCTGGTATTTTCAATACGCCTATGATGGTTGCGCATGTTGCAAAATCTGTGAATTTTTTTTATCATATATCAATTTATCGAAACCCAAAATAGTTAAATATGCTTGATTTTATACGAAAATAGCGAGCAAGTATTGTGGTGATTCCCACAATTTTTGTCAGGGAATATTCAGATTATCCTCGTTGAAATTTAAATCATTACAAATTGTAGCACTACTAACTATATTTTTTTTAAACATTTGCTGTTACTATAGGCTCTATTGTAAAGTGAGTTGGGAAAGAATAATATCTTTGCTAATACAACAATTGTGTAATATATTTACAAAAATCTAAATATATTTGATACCAATTAAGCTTTTAGTTACGTCATCGAGGACGCGATTTTTAAATTAATTTTTTTTTTAATTGCCAACCATGAACATATTTGGCGCCAGGCTGACCAACTGTAATTTAAATTTCCAGCTGGGGATTTAGGTAGCAGCTCTGCTGTAAAAAATGTAAAGTTGCCGTATTTATTTATTTATTTCCTGACATTGTCATTCGTTTTGACACCATAGTTTTTTATCACGAGTTTTTGGTTTAAATAAATTGTGTTGTGATATTTTAAGGCTTAAAAATGCTTACTAGCAGACCATGCAGTCGAACATTATTCTTTTTAAAACCTCTTTTAGGGCGTAGTGTACAGGGTGGTCGGAATTGGTCTGTTTTAACAGAGAAAACCTATTTCCTGACTGTATAGAGCAAAACCGACATAGATGTCATGGGCTCGATTTCTGAGACACGTTTAATGGCATAAACCGCCTGTTGATATTTTCACTGCCAACTGAGATACGGGGTCTTTTTGATTTTTTTACCGTTATGAAAATTGCCCATAACTTTTTTAATTCGCTCTAGTTGTCTAATTATTTTATATCGCAACTAGCGTGTACCAGCGACTTCGTTCGGGTCGAATTAATCATTTGTAATGGTGATGATAAAGCAGAGCACGAATTTCCATTAACATACAAAGTGGATAAAATTTTCTCCCGTCAGCATGAGAAAAAACATGAGAATGAAAATGAAAAAGCATGAGAAAAACAATATGGCGATATTATTATATTTTGAATTGAACTTTGTAATATTTGAGGGGTAGTTTCATCTCGTTGGAATTTGACTTTCGAAAAATCCGTTTAATGACGTAAAAAGCCAAAAATAAGCTTTTTACGTCAAGCAATTTCAGCAGAATCGTGGTTAAGAAATTATCCAACTTTTTGGAACACCCTGTATGATTTTTTAAAAAATTTCAAAATATGTAAAAAACTAAATAAATTATGCTTGTCCAAGCGTTTTCCCGAAAGACTAACCGTTTTTTAAATAACAAATATTGTATTATTTGAGGGGCGTTTTCACCCTCTTGGAATTTGAGATTCGAGAAACCCCTCCTTATCGAACCTCTACACCCCACAGTCAATCCGTTTGCCAAAAATCAGCTTTATACGTCAAGCAGTTTGAGCAGAATCGTGATTACTCAATGGTCATATTTTATGAAGCACCCTGTATAAATTTATAAAAAATCTTAAAATATGTAAAACAACAAAATAAAATATATGTGTTTAAAAGTTTTTCCGAAAAACTCACCGGTTTTTAAATAAAAAATATTTTAATATTTGAGGGATAAAGTCAATCTGTTTTCCAAAAATCAGCTTTTTACGTCAAGCCCTTTAAGCAGGATTGTGATTAATCAATGACCAGATTTTTTTAAACACCCAGTATACATTTTAAAAAAATCTTAAAATATGTAAAAAAACAAAATAAAATATACATTATAAATATTCAATACCTCAAATAGCCAACTGTGTGGGACAGAATCAAACGCCTTTCGATAATCGATATAAGCCGTGTATATATTTCGGTTAGTCTTATACGCTTGTTTCATTATTATTGAATCTACTAGTAACTGCTCTTTACATCCCGGTGAGCCTCTCTTACAGCCTCTTTGTTGTTCTGCTAGAATGTTATTAATTTCACAATGCCTGTAAATCATATCCGCAATATATGCCGTCAAAATCTTGTAGATCGTAGGAAGACACGTGATAGGTCTGTAATTAGCAGGATTTTGAGTGACGTTGTTCTTTGGCAATAAATAAGTTATTCCATTGCAAAGAAACTGGGGCATTGTGTGTGGTTCTACGATAAAACCGTTTAAATATTTTGTAAGGTCTTTATGTGTGCTCGTAAATTTCTTTAGCCAATAATTGTGGATGTAATCGTTACCTGGTGCTTTCCAATTGTGTGTTTTATTTATTGTTGCCACTAATTGAGTTAATGATATTTGGTTGTACTGCATTGGCTCTATCTTACACGCTCTTTGATTTTCAGTATCGATCCAGCTATTTTCATCATCATGTTGAACTTCTTTACACCATATTTCTTCCCAATGTTTTTTGATACAATCTCTTTCTGGCAGTCTCGAAGAAGGAACTATTTCATTTTTTGGTGCTCTATAAAACTGGCCCTCCCTAAGTTGGAACTGTCGATTTTCTTGACGCCTTTGGTTGGAAACCTTGTACCGTATCAGTCTTTTTGAGGCTGCTGATAGTTTTTGTTTTAACGTATCTAAACATTCTTGTACCGTGTTGTTGTTTTCCTCATGCTTAGAATGTACTTTGTTATTCTTTAATAGGGCTTCAACCTTATTATTTAGTTTTTTTGATCTTTGCCCGCGACTATACTGTGTTAATTGGTTAGCATTCATTCTCAGGTTCTGAATCTTATTTTCCAGTCTTTTTTGCCATAGAGGGATTTTCATGCATTTTGAATCTGTTTGTCTTTGTTTACTTTTCTCAATTTTTGCACCATTTTCAATTGCACAAACTAATGCGGCACAATAAATTAAGCAATGGAAGTCTTCAAAGCTGTATATAGACATTAAAAATCTTGGTAATAGGCTGTTTACTCTCGATACAATACTGGCAAGTTTTTTTGAAGTACTTTGTTTTGGTATTATTAATCTTCGTATTGGGTCGCTTCCTCGAAATTTAATAAAGGTTTCCTGCAGTTTGCCTTCTAATTCAACATTTTCGCTGGTTTGATCATTTTCGCTTTCGCGGGGCTCTTGAATTGCCCTTCGATTCTCTTCACAAGTATGTTCCGCTATTATTCTTTGTAACTCTGTATTAATTGAGGCGTGCTGCTGCTCTTCATTATTGCACCGTCCCATCACCACACCCACTGTGCTATTTTGAGCTTCTAGTTGCTCACTCACCTGCTCCTTCAGTTCATTAATTATTACGTCCGATAAAAGTTTTTTATGTATAATGGTTCTTCTCTGATCTGCCAACCGTTGTTCCGTAATTTGCAGATGTGGATTTTCATTAACAAATGTGTTGTACATTTTAGCCCTGTAGAGTGTCATATCGCTTTCTAGATTTGTAGCTATGAAATAGCAGCGCATGACACTTTTATTTAAATCAGTAGTCCATTTCATGCGCTGCCGTGGAAGTCCCGCTTTAGTGGTAGTGATTGGTTTATTCACTAAAGCACCGGAAGCAGGATATTGTTCAGAACCAGTTTTATTGCTTAAGTCGTCAACGTTGGGCTGGATACGAGCGTCAGATACAGCCCGACTTTCTGACGCATCCGAGGCTAAGTTTAAATCTTTATTATCCTCCATGAAACAAAATTATTTATGGGTGCATTTTACCTACTGCCAGGTTTGAGTCCGGTCGCTCCTAACATGGAGATCAGACGCCGCCCCTATGCCGCTCGTTTCGCGACAGACGCATAGGGGATTTCTTGTACTTCTAAGCCGTTCTAACATGGAAAACAGAAGCTGATTGGATACCGCTCCTGACATGGAGAACCGTGTATATATATATATATATATATATATATATATATATATATATATATATATATATATATATATATATATATATATATATATATATATATATATAATATATATATATATATATATATATATATATATATATATATATATATATATATATATATATATATATATATATATATATATATATATATATATATATATATATATATATATATATATATATATATATATATATATATATATATATATATATATATATATATATATATATATATATATAAAACCAAACCAAACTTTAATAGTATTTTGAAGGGACATGAATTCTCCATTAAATATCGGAATAATATACTAGGTGCTCCATTTAAAATAAAAGAGTAACTTGCTTTTCGAGGTGACCGATATTCAATATTAACTTTGTCTCACTCTGTATAACTTTTTGGATCAAGTACAGTAGTTACTTTAACTACATATTAGGCTATACCGGGTAAATTACAACTTAGTTATTATTGTAATTTAAAATTTGTTCATGTTAAATATGTCAAAATCTTCACATTTTAATTATATACTTCTCTTATAAAACTCACTTTTATTTTTCTCCCAGAATCCGAAAATCAATTAATATATATAGGGTGTTTCATTACAAAAAACACAACTTTGATATTTAACTTTTTTGGGGACACCCTATAGAAATCTCTATATTTTTAAAAAGTTACATATGAATTAACTTACATATGCTCACACAATTTCGTTTCAATACAAACTGTCGTTCTCCTTGGAGCCTCCGCATCGTATGAGAGGCGCCACCCTGTACGTAATTATGTACGTGCAAATGAAAAGTTATGTATTGTAAAGTATATAAGTATATTTTTTTCTTATTCCTCGTCTACCGGTTATTGTATCGCGTAAATTAGCTTTAAACGAGCCCGAACGGTAAAAAACAACAACAAAATTAATTGTAACAAAGAAGATTCATTAACGAAAGCCGTAATAACGCGCGGAGCACTTTGTTGGAGCGGAGCCGGCCCAGCTGTAAATCACTTTAAACGTCCTCGAAGTCCGGCCGCACAAAGGCCGAATAAAAGTATCATAATTTATCTCGTAAATCATTTTAATCCGGTGTGCCCAGAAAAACCGCATACCCAAAACTATTTCTAATATATTTTTGTTCAAATTTTACCTCGGTCCGCGATAATCCCGAAAGTGTAATATTTACGAGCGGCCGCGGCGGACGAAATAAGCTGCCCCCAAGACGACACAGCTGGTCGGTGATCGAGTTGAGCGGGACAAAAATTTACAAGAGTTGAAAGGATACACAATTATAGAGTTAGAATAGGGCGTTCCAATATTCCTCAGCGACATTTTCTGATCTATTGTGGTCCTCTTCTGATCTCTTGGTTACATTCTCCTGTCCCTTTTCAAAAGGCCTAACAATTTGGAGACTGAAACCTCCTTATAGCTGTTTGTCAATGGCCTATCATTGCCTAATACAAAAAACTGCACATTTGCCAGGCTGTCGCACAGGCATGATATGTTTTCTGATGTCCTGCCAGCAAACTTACTACTGACCACAATTAAGTACAAATATGATCGAAAAATCTCAAGCGTATCGTACACTAGTACACATAGGTTATAGTACAATACGTATAAGTACAATATAAGGAAATGAAACAGCGGATTGGTAAAGGCAGAAAGGTGATTGGAACGCTAAACTCGGTGATTTGGTATAGGGTTATCTCAGATCGCAGAAAAAACTGATCTATAACGCGATTCTGAAAAGCGTAGTGTTATGCAGCTCTGAGGTATGGCAGTTAAGCCAAAGACATAAAAAGAAGTTGTGGTCGACCGAAATGGACTTCTGGCGAAGATCAGCCCGAATCTCCCGTTTAGACAGAATTAGGAATACGTGGAAAAATAAAGGTAACGTTAATAAGGATAACATTGTACAAGATATACAAGAAAAACAACTACAGTGGTACGGCCATGTACAACGAATGGCTAAAGATAGAATACCAAAGCAAGTGTTGCAGTGGACACCTACAGAGAGAGGTAAACGAAACCGACCTAAACTTTCTTGAAATCAAGGAATCGACAGAGCCAGAATCAGATGTCGGAAAGGAACTTACTACCAGGAGATTGGGACAACAGATGGAGGTGGCGCATAGAGACCAGAAGGCGACGAAGAACGCTGTAAAAACCGGATACATACACATGATCGATAAAAATACGGCGTCAGCGATGACTATAAAATAAAGATCGCTGACATTTTACATGTAAACTTAAATGGGGAATGTCATCGATCACGTCATTTCAAAGCCACTATTTTATGATAGCAAGTCTCAGTGTGGATGTTATTATCCTGTTCTCTAAGATGACTTTTATCCATCTGCCTACTACCAAAGGTATATTTCTACTCATTACATTTACTAGTTGTGAGTAGTTGGTTAGAAGTAGCATTATTGCGGTAAAAGTCTTGTGTGGATAATTCGTTAATTAGGTATCTACCAATGTTGCGCAAAATAGAAAAGACAACACTCGTGCTTGCGAACAAACTGCACCCGTTATTACTTTGGTGGTAGCTTGTTCCAGAGTGGATGTTATTATCCTTTTCTCGGCGGCTGCCTTTATCAATCTGCATACTATTGCAAGTGTACCTCTTCTACTCGTTGAATTTACTAGTAAGTTGATAGTAGGTAGTAGCATTGTTGAATGCCCTGTTGATATTTACAAAAAGCGGCCATTGCTATCTTGTTGTCCACTATTGAGTTTGATATACTGTTTAACTCATCCATCAGAGTATACGTAAATTTACTAGGCCGGTAGCGTTTTAGCGATTTAAGTTGATAATTAATTATTAACGTTAATTGGAGAATACTAAGCAGACCGCTCATTAGGGAATATGTTGAGCAAGATGCTTAGCGACATGTTGATCATCCAATACACACACTAGGAGATACGACGATAACTCAATTTGGTAACACGTTGCTCAACTTGCTCTCTAACAAATAGAGCCTATTCTAATATACAGTATGTCCCTGGATTTTCTTTACAAAACGAATCACTTTTTTTCTTATTGACATTTTGAGAAAAATGTATTCATAAAAATTTTCGCTTAAATGGTTAATCCCGTTTATACTTTTCCAAATTGCCATATGGGTATGTATACTGTTTTAGAGGAAATTAAAAAACATGACAATATTAACAATAATAATCTTCCAAATAATGAAAACAAAATAATATTACCATAGAAACGACTCTAGATTTTTAGAAAAAAAAATCAACTATATTTTCATGTTTTTTTTTTAATTTTCTCTAAAACTATATGGAAATTTGAAAGTATAAACATGATTAACTATTTTAGAACAAGCAATTTTTTTATAAATAATGCATTTTTCTTAAAACGCCAATAATAAAAAAGTTCTCCTCTTGTAAAGACAATCCGGGGACATATTGTATAATTATTTTCAACATTTGTATGAAAATAAAACATCTTTTTGACTCCACTTACTTATTTTGAGCCACTGCTCGTCCTCCGGAAACCATAACTCAACTCACCGTGGATATTTACTTAACGCCCAGACCGTCGGCTACTGTGCACTGACCAATCCCTATTTACACGCTTTTGTTTGGGGCTGTGTCTTTGGACATCTCTGGTGCTTCTGTTTTTTCTTTTCCTTTTGGCTCAAAGGATTTCTTTCACGGCCAGAGCAGTGTGCACACCTCTTTGTTCTAGATTCTGGTTTTTGTTTGCATCGTGAATATGTGAATGAAATATGTTGAAATAAAATAAATTCAATTAGTGTTTTGTATTTAGGAAAGCGTACTAGGGAAGTATCTTAGGCATGAAATTAGAAAAAAGAAAAGTCTAAGTGATTTTTGACGTCACCAAAGGATGAGGCTAAAATATATTTTAGAATGTATTTGTAGATTTTTTCAACAGTTAAAATAAACTACCTAGTAAAACAATAATACCGAAAACCGGTAATTTAAAAATAACTTCTTTTGACATTAAATTTTCAGTACTTCATCGACTCATAGGGAAATTCCTTTTATAACACTAACTTTTTATTTTTTTAAATTAATCATAACTTTTTCTTTGAAAAAATGATGATAAAACAGCTTCTGTTGAACTTTTGACACAAAATCATTTCAAATTTATGATATTTGTCTAATAACTATTTAGTAAGCATGTTTAATTTATGTCAATGATGACAGGTATTGATAATTTCGATTGCAAATATCTCGAGAACTGTCGTAGCGATTCCAAGAGACCTTTTTTACGTTAGAAAATATCGTAAATGTTTATTTTTTACTCAGTAGTTTTATACAGGTACAGACGAAAAGTTTTTAGCCTTTAAACCAGTTAAAAAAATATGTAGGTGGCGCCCTCTACAGGTAGGAATCATACTGACATCAGAATCAAATTTCTCATGTCAAAAAACTCCCAGACACCAATTTTCATCCAAATATTGACGTTACTTCAGAAATTATTCAGAAAAAATCGAAATGAAAATGAAACGTCTATACCCTGTATTTCCGAAACTAAGCAATTTAGGACATATATTTATACGACCTTTTTTACTTATTTTTAACTGCAATATATGCTGCCGAAGTTTCCGGAATACAGTTCGGACCACCCTGTATAGCGGTATGCATGTTAGTTGATAAGTAAATCTAGAAGCAAGGATTTTGACCAAACCACAAAGATTTCGTACATAAATACGAGAGCCCTTCGAATCGGTAGCCCACTACTCGAACAGATTACTATCCGCATAATCTTACGTACAAATATGAGGAAATATTCTCGATCTATCGACAGC